GGCATTATTCAAGATATAGTTTTCATTTTGATGAAAATTCATTGTTGCCATAATTTTATACATGTTTGAAAGTGTAGGAAACAAATTTAAAATGTCAAAAATAATGAAAATTAAGCTGTTAAAAATCAATTGAAAAATATGACTAATTACAGTATTCAGAATGAACCATTGAGTTTTATGGAAATTGAATATTACCATTAAATTCTATACACTTTTAAATGTAGGAAACAACTTTAAAATTTCAAAAAAGCATAGAAAATAAGGTACACACATGTATGCAAACAATTAAGTGAGAAAGTGATGAATTAATTAAAAAAAACGTGTCAAATGCGGCATTCAAGGTATAGTTTTCATTTTGGGGAAAAATGGTTGTTACCATCATTTTCTACATGTCTTAAAGTGTGGGAAATAAATTTAAAATGTCAAAAAATGATGAGAATTAAGCTGTAAAAAATTAAGTGAAAAAATGGGTCTAATTTCAGTATTAAAAATGAACCGTTGAGTTTTAAAAAAATTGGATTGCACCATTAAATTCTACACACATTGAAACTAGGAAATAATTTTAAAATTTCAAAAAAGCATAAAAAATAAGGTACATACATGCATGCAAACAATTAATTGAAAAAATGAGTAAGCAGAAAAAAAAAATCAAAGTCATTTTTATGGTAAATAGACTTTACCATTAAATTCTACACCCTTCAAAGTGTAGGAAAAAATTTTAAAAAATCAAAAAAACTCGAAATTAATGGCAAAAAAAAATTAATTAAAAATGCGGGTTTAAAAGCAGAATGCGCGTGTGCTGTGCGCAGCAAAAGCGCGTCAAAATGCGGAAAATGCGGGTTTTTTTATTAAGGCCCTTTGAAGTTTGCAAAAAAATATTACAATTATTGAACTTTTTTCAAAAGTTTCAATATTGCTCCAAATGATAAAACAAAAATTGGAAAGAGTAGCATGGTATGCAAGGAAAATGATAATAAATGAAAAAATGAACTCCAGAAATTGTTCAGAGGTCAGTATCTAGGTCAAAATGCAAGTTGAATTTGATCACACTGTCTTTTCCACTGTATTTTCCATTGGGAGTCTGATGAATGCCTGATTTCACACCATTTCAAAACCATCTGGTATTTAATGTTTTCAAAATTTTTATTTATTATCATTCTTCCAACATACCGCACTCCAATTTCCAATTTTTATTTTTTCATTTGGAGCAATATTAAAAGGGGCTCTGTTAATCGACTCCCAAAAGTTGGAGAGTCGACTCCCAAACCCCCAAAACCCCCGAAATTCCCCCGTATCCCCCGAGTATCGGGAGTCAATTCACCAAACCCGTCAGCGGGTTTGGGAGTCGAATCCTCAAAAATTTTAAATAAAAAAAAAAACAAAACCCCCGGAGGGGGACGGAGTTGATGCCCCAAAACCCAGTGGGTTTTGGGGGTCGGCGAGCCAAAAAGAGCCCTCGATGGCCGGGATGATTCCTCCCGGCCGTCGAGGATGTACATGTACACCTTTGACGGCCGAGAGAACCCCTCCCGGCCGTCAAGGATGTACACCTTCAACGGCCGAGATAGAGATCGTTTGTCGGTACCCGTTGCTAGGTACCTAGTACCGCTCGGCGGGTACCGCCCGCACCCGCCTCGCACCCGCCAGGCGGTGCCGGGTGCGGTGCCGGGTGCCGGTTTTTTGGCAAAAAAAGGGGAGGTACCCGGGTACCGCTCCGAGTACCGCCCCCAAGAGTCTTGACCGGAAGGAAACTCTTCCGGTCGATGAGGTAGATGTACCTCATCAATCGGAGGGGTTTCCTTCCGATCAACGAGGTACATCTACCTCATCGACCAGAAGGAAGCCCTTCCGGTCAACCTGGCCGGGACGCTGGGGTTCCCCCCAGCCTCAAGGCCATTTTTTTTTCTTTTTTTTTTCTTACTTTTTTTTCTTTTTTCTTTTTATTTTTTTATCTCTTTTTTTTCTGTTCTTTTCTTTTTTTTTCTCTTTTCTTTTTCCTTTTTTTTCTCTTTTCTCTTTTCTTTTTTGTTTCTTTTTTTTCAGCAATTACAAACAGTTTTTTTAAAAATTCTTTTCAATTGTTTTTGACTTTATATTTTTTATGTTTTTAAAATAAAATGATAGTCACAATAAATCCCCCCCAAAAAAACTCAAACAAGATGCAAAAGGATTGTAATGAACCTTGCAGTCAAACTAAGTGAGGAAGAGAGGGGAGGTACCCGTGGTACCTGCCAAAAGTACCGCCGGTACCCGCCGGGAGGTGCCTGGTGCGGTACTTGGTACCTATTTTCTGAAAAAAATCAACAGGTACCTAGGTACCAACAGGTACCCGAGTACGAACGAACGATCTCTAGGCCGAGAGAAACCCTCCCGGCCGTCGAGGATGTACACCTTCAACGGCCGAGAGAAACCCTCCCGGCCGTCAAGGATGTACACCTTTGACAGCCGAGAGAAACCTTCCCGGCCGTCAAGGATGTACACTCTCGACGGCCGAGAGAAACACTCTCGCCGTTGAGGGTGTACACACTCAACGACCAAGAGAGAACCTCTTGGCCATTGAGAGTGTACACTCTCAATGGCCAAGAGTGTTTCTCTCGGCTGTCGAGAGTGTACACCCTCAACAGCCGAGAGGTTCTCTGCCGGTCGTTGAGAGTGTACACTCTCAACGGCCGAGAGGTTCTCTCTCGGCCATCAAGAGTGTACATCCTCGACGGCCGGGAGGGTTTCTCTCGGCCATCGAAGATGTACATCCTTGACGGCGGGGAGGGTTTCTCTCGGCCGTCAAAGGTGTACATCCTTGACGGCCGGGAGGGTTTCTCTCGGTTGTCCCGGTCGTTGAGAGTGTACACTCTCAACGGCCGAGAGAGAACTCCACGGCCAAGAAAAACGTTGAGTTCTCTCTCAACCGTTGAGGGTGTACACCCTCAACAACCGAGAGGTTCTCTCCCGGTCGTTGAGAGTGTACACTCTCGACGGCCGAGGGGTTCTCTCTCGGCCATCGAGAGTGTACGATCTCGACGGCCGGGAGGGTTTCTCTCGGCCGTCAAAGGTGTACATGTACATCCTCGACGGCCGGGAGGAATCATCCCGGCCATCGAGGGCTCTTTTTGGCTCGCCGACCCCCAAAACCCACTGGGTTTTGGGGCATCAACTCCGTCCCCCTCCGGGGGTTTTGTTTTTTTTTATTTAAAATTTTTGAGGATTTGACTCCCAAACCCGCTGACGGGTTTGGGGAATTGACTCCCAATACTCGGGGGATACAGGGGAATTTCGGGGGTTTTGGGTGTTTGGGAGTCGACTCTCCAACTTTTGGGAGTCGATTAACCAAGCCCCTATTAAAAATTCTGCAAAAAGTCCAACAACTGTAATATTTTTTGCAAATTTTAAAAAACCATTTTTTCTGATTTCAAGTCGGTGGGTTGGGGTTGTGCAATCCAAAAAAAACTTGCTATAAACATCTGGGAGGTGACTGTACATGACACACCAACTGGGCTCAACAGGTGGAGGACCGAGACACTGAGCCCTTGGAAGTGAACAAAGGGGCAGGAAGCTGAGCCTTACCAATGTCTCATAGCAGCAATCTTTTCTAAAAAAAAGCCAACCATGATTGAGGCCCAAGGGCCTCTTATATCTCAAAGACTGGTTCTGCACCTTCAACGGGCCATTTTGATCCTGATTCTCACACAATAAAAAAATACAAATTGATACATGAAGTAGCTGCAGGCTGCAGCAGTGGGCCGCTAAATTTTTTTACATCAAAAAATTGTAGTGTTAGTGCTTTTGTAGCGCATTTTCGCTACACTACGCTGCGCTACAGCCCTTTTAGCGGTAAAAGCGGCTAAAAACCGCTAAAAACCGCTAAAAAATGTATACGCTTAGCACTAAAGGGAATTTTACTGTGTTACGCCACACTAACCGCTACGGTTAGTGTAGCGGCCCACCGTTTGTAGCTGAAAATATCATGTAATACAAGATGCCAGCACAAATTGAAAAAAACTTTTGCTCCACAACTTATCAAAACCCCGGGGTTCTGGGGTATTGCAAAACCTCATCCCAAGTCCTGAACCCCGGGGTTTGGATCCGGGTAAAATCTTGAACCCCATGTGTTGGGGTCATGCCTTAACATGGATTTCCCATAGGGATGGCTTCAGATACCCAGTACCCATTGGCAAGTACCCACATATGTATGGCAGGTACCGTACTACCTGCTGGCAGGTTCAGGTGTCCAAATTGTGTCAAAATTCCAGGAAGGTACCTGCACCTGCCACAGGTGCAAAGTGACATCCCTAATATACCCCTTGTCAAGAGCTATTTCCCTTTTTAACTATGTGTATACTTCAATCACCTAAGCCATTCTATAATATAGGTGTGTGTGATCTGATGTGTAAATCCCAAGCTCTCTATCAGATTTTAGCCGGCAAATTCATGCATCATCTAACTCATTGTTTTCTCTGGGGAAAGAAACTCAGTAAAAGAAAAAAATGGGTTTCAAATTTATTTCCCAGTTTCTGATCGTTCTTTCAATTCATAAATAAAAAATTGGAAAAGTTTGGCAGCCCAGAATTAAAGTTCTGTGCAACTTGTCAGACAAAGTCAGTCCAATCACTTTATGGACAGGCTCATCCAACAAATTATAAATCAATAAAGTGACAGTGGAGGACTTCCCGTCGCCATTTAGAGTGCTTTTTAAGCCCTCCCCAGTCTAAAATTAACACCCCAATCATGATTCCAACCAGCTCATGTGAGAGGTATCATCACCAGGCTTGCAAAAAAACAATTTTTTACACCAAAAATTAAGATCTTGGGGGTGTAAATTCAATTCTGGGAGGGTTGTAAACCGCGACGGGAAGACATCCAGTGCCTGCAAGTGGGAGTCTGAGATCTCAACTTTGCGATCAGTGATCTGTGCATATAGTGCAAGACAGCCCTTGTGACAGCTGAAAATGTGAGATGTCACGATTTTGGACAAGTCCGCCAGGCACTACCAGCTGTGCCAGTCAGTGTGAGTTGAAGAACCCAACACATTTTCGCATGTTCATCTCGACGCGGCTACATCCAACCTTGAACCAGCTCGCCGCCCGAGAATCCCGTAGATGAAACCGAGCCGTGCGTCGAAGGTGGACCGGTGGCCGAATCTCCCGTCGAGAATGGCTCCGAGGACATACATGGCTTCCTTCTCGACTTGTGCCTTCTGTCGCCAGGAAAACCATTACAGGACCCTTGGCCTAAAACAGGTCCGTTGGCTCTTCTTGGTCCTCATCCCGTGACCCCTTGACCTGCTCCGAATCTCACGCTCATCATGCTCAAAATCATCGATCGCTAGGGAGCGACGGCCCGAGAGATCAAATCAAATTTCTATGAGGTATGCATAATGATTTCTGTACTGCACTCATCAATTTCGAGGCCTTCGCGCCTTTTAGATCCCTTCTTCCTAGCTCTTTCGACGTGGCTGACTTCCTCGAATGGCATGTCTTCATTGATGTATCTACACATGTATCAGCTTTCCAGGACGCACCACCCGGACATGAATCCCAACGGGGCCACCTCAGCAGACCGGTTCAAAAAGATATCTGAGGCATACAGCGTCCTGTCAGATCCAGCGCAGCGGAAGCGGTATGATCAGACCCTGACGCCCTCGGGCGTAGCAGGTGCGAGTGATCCAGGGATGACCTACGCGGGAATGGGGTCGGACTATGGGTCGCGGAATGCGGAGCGCCGGGCGAGTGCGAACTATGCATGGTCGACCCGGGGTTCCCGGGCAGGCCCGAGGAGCGAGCTCCGTGGCCGACGGGACCCGCTCAAATCGGCCCAGCAGCCCGGCGACTTCTCTGCAACCCTCGATCGCTTCGAGCGTCTGGCCCGGCGCCGAAAACCCTCCTCCTCCTCCTCCGCCTCCTCCCGTCCTGATGAACCCTGGCTAGACCCATTCCACACGCCTTCCCCAACACAACCCAGGCGTAAAGTCTCCCCCGCTCAACAAGCTGCCCAGATGGCTCTCATGCTCTCCTTAATCTTCTGGGTCGGCAGCAAACTTCAACTTTAAATCTCTCCGCTCCTCCTACTCCTGTACTCAATACGGCCCATGATGACAATCATCCCATTGTAAAACAATCGATTTACATACATTGCCAACTTGCTGGATGATCTTTATATATTCAGGTTCTGGAATCTTCTTTCAGCAAGCTTAATATCATTGAAAAATTAAACCAACCAGCATTCAGTAGCTGATCCCCTTTTCTTAATTAAACAAAGACCAAAATTGACCCATGAATTATTGCATGTAATGACCCTGCTAAGAGAGAGAGAAAGAGGGGAAGAGAAGACGAATAGCTAAAAGCGGAGAGCTATGGGAAGCAGAGTTTTCGATGGGTCCGATGTTCTAACAAAGTAGCTGAAAAGCCAGTATTAGTAACCTTTGATGGAGGTGAAAGAATCTAATGAACAGGAAAACTTATAGGGAGGCTTTAGCGTCTGTAGTAGACATGAATACCAGAACCAATAGTATTGTTACATCTGATCAGACTGCTAATTAGAGACTCAAACCAACCACCCCCGAAGTTGCAAGAACAGAGTTAACATCAATAATGAATGAAGAAAGCAAGATGCAAAGAAGTGTCCACAAGAATAGGAATCAAAAAGTAACCATAAGATTTGGGAATCATTGTAATTAATAATGGGAAGTAATGGTGATCATGGGAGATAGCCGCCATCACAGGGAATGCAATTAATGGGCCAATAGAACAATAATGATAATGAATGAATGAATGAATGAAAGCTTGTGTTGTGGAAGAGAACCCAAAAGCTCCTACATTGTTATAGATAGACATTAATCATTTACATAAGATTGATAGCACTCATCACAGTTGATGTTCATGAGCATGTTGAGTTCACTGAAATGTGATGAGCATGTTGCAACTGGAGAGAAATCAAGGGTCAAGGCTCAGTCCAATCTGGTCCATCTGTGATCCAGATACAAACAGATTTCAAGTGTAGGTGAGTTAGATTCAGAAGTCCAAGGACCAATCCAAATTGGCTTTTTTTCTCTGATATATCCATGTTTCCTAGTGGCCAGTGTTTGGTAAAAGCATTTCATGAGAATCAAGAAACAAAATCCAGTGAGTCCAAAGTGACAAGTTCCGTTTAGACATGCCCAGTAAAAAGAAAGTGATGTAGACCAGTGAAGTGAATGTATCGATACTTGTTGTGAGTTCCTTCCTATCCTAATGCTTTGTGAAGACAACATGTTCCCAGGGGCACCGGTGTACGTGACATGATATACGTATAGAGATCAAAAAAAAAGATGAAGAAAATGCACATGGAATGTGAGCACCATAGTACAGAGTTCAATTCTTCTCAGTTGCGAGATTTGATCAAACCATACACAAAAAAGACGACAGATACATACATTGTATATGAAAAAATGAAGAATGACCAGGAGTGGGTTTTTCTACAGCTTAGACTGCACCAATGAAGATCTAAATAAACGTAATGATAAGACATCGATACATGTGCACACACAGACAAATATGCATGAAGATATGGAGAGACGCAGCGACACAAAAATACACTGGAAAGCACATCAACTGGTTCTTTATTTTTATTTTTTGGTTTATAGCAGGGGTGGGGCCTTTTTGACGTTGAAAGTGCTTTGAGGTGGGGCCTTGGAGATGGAAGGCGGAAATTTGGGTGGTTGCGTATGTAGTGAGCTTACCCGACAGGATGGTGGCCCAACTGTTTCAAGCTGTCACTGAACCCATCAATGATCCGATCGATGTGTGCCCGTTGATCGTCGACGGCAGTGAGTCCCATATGACCAATGCGCACGTATCGGTCCTTACAATCTTTATGTAACCCGCCTGCGATCACTAGGTCTTTCTCGAGCATCTTACCCATCACCTCTACAAAAGAAATTCAGAGAACCAACTTATTTAGCTTAAAAAAAACTGTTCAACTTTGGGTTAGAAAATGTCATATAACTGACCACCAGGCTTGATGGACTCGGGCAAATAAATCGCCGTCATCCCATGAGCACTCGATTCATCATTCACCGAGAGCTCTTTGAGGCCAAGCTTCTTGACCGCCTCTTTGACTTTTTTCGAGGCTTGCTTGTGTCGCAAGAATCTTTCTTCCAAACTCAAATTCGGGCTCTCCAGAATCGTCTTCAAAGACTTATGGAGGGCCTATGTCATCAAATCAAATGAATCGATGTCAATAACTTCAGCCTTTCTTTGTTCCATTCGATCCTATTGAATTTCTTTCTTTCTTACCGTGATAAGGTTTGTAGCTCTGTTAATGATGTGATTGTAAAGATAAAGGCATTATTATCAGTACCAAGGACCAATTATGGAAAGAGGCGGTATAAAACTTACGGGGTAGCAAAATAAGCCGGTGAGCCAGCCTGATAAGCTTTCATGACTTAAGAGAGACAAGTTCAACCAATGAGCTTTAGGTTGGGACTGAATAAGAAAAAAAAAACAAGAGGGGGACCCACTCGGAAGCCATTTCTTCCAAGAGGCGTAGTAACTGCCCGGGGGAGACTGACGACAGTCGAGCGTCTTGAGTGCGCGACTTGAAGCGACAAAGATGCAGAGACCGGGGGGTGTTCCGAGGCCTTTTTGGGAGGCGGAGAGGACAACATCGAGTTTCCAGTCGTCTAGCCGGATTTCCTCGCTGGCAACGCTACACACGCTGTCGAGGACGAGCAGGGAGTCGGGGGAGATACGGGAGGCGACAGCTGCAAGGCCCTTTGCATCAGCCAGCACGCCGGTGGAGGTGTCGCAGTGGGTGATCGTGATCAACTTGTAGGTCTGTTTGGCCTCCTGCAGATGTTTCTCGAGCTCCGACGGAGTAATCGTGTGGCCGAGCTGGGCCGAAAGGACTTCGACTTCGGCGCCATAAACTTCCAGACAGTCCCGGAAAGCATCGCCGAAGTAGCCGTTGCTGAGCACCAACACTCGTTCGCCCCGCTCGACCAGGTTCGCCGCCACCATGTCCCAACCCAAGGTCCCCGAACCACTCACCACAAACGCCTGGCTGCCAGCCTCCACGGATGTGTACAGCAGTCGTAGTAACATCTTCAACGTGTCCCCAAAGATCGCGATGAAGCCCGCCGAGACGTGCGAGACTGAGGCCGATGCATTCGCTAGTAGTACCTCGTCGGACACCTCGATCGGCCCGGGAATGACGAGCAACTTGTGCGGGTTTTGAGTGAATTCTGCGCGTGAATAAAAAGAACAAATCAACTTCCAGAAGCCACTTATCATTAGAATCCGGAAAGAGAATACCTTGCTCACCATTAGACATGATGTCTGACTCGTTCTGGTAGATGAAGGTTGAGTTCTCTGGATTGGCTGGTCGGACCGCAGTGGTCAACAAGCAGTGATTATGTAAACAACAAGTAAGAATGACGTCAGACTAAATATATCTTTTGATGACGTCATCACATCAAATGCCAATTTTCAGAACATCTTGTTGGCTCATAGGGGCTCATCCATCAGGTTTTGACTGTTTCATGTCCATTTCCCCATTCCATCCCTCAGATCATTTGACATTCCTCAGATTTTTCTTCAGAAGATCATCAACTGAGCAGATAAGCAATTCATGGAAAACCTGCCAAAAAGCTTCTGTATTTGCCATAACAAAGTAACCCAATCAATCACACAATATTCATGATTCCTCTTCAAGGTAACACATTAACTGTCACAGATTTGGGACATGTCCACAAAATCAATATGAAAACTGCTTCACTTTGCAGCATGCATGCTTCAGTTCAGGAATCAGATCATGGAATATGGAGAGACATCCTTCATATATGGGTTGTTCATGACATAAGACAGACCAAGCATAGATTTATCAGGTGAACTATTGTTGAAATTTTGAACTAGAGCACTAGAGAAAAGAAGAATTTGAGAAAGGGTCCAAAAAAGAGAAGGCTCTTTTTTGGGAGAGGCTCACAGAAAAAGAATGGAAGAACCAACGGTGTTTATTCCTTTGGGCTAGACTAGATTAAATAGACTAGGTACAAGGTGAAAATGTGGTAGAATAAAAACTGAGAGGAGGAAATATACAAGTTCAAGCAATAAACAACCAGACAAGCCTGCTCAGTCTCTTGTAGTCAAGCCAGAAGGTTAATCAAGAAAAAAACATACGTTCAACCACAGATATTCAGAGGTGTTAATTCTAAATCACCAGTTTCAATAAATAGACCAAATTAGAAAAGAGAAGAATACATTAGAGAGACATGAGTAATTGACAAGAGCTTATTACTCAGGGTTCATTGAATACAAAATCAGGCTTCAGGCGACAAAAAACAGTCTGTATAATGGCTATAATCTAATCTAATTTGATGAGATTTCAAGAAAGAAGGAAAGGAGAAAAGAAGCGGAATAGAAGGGATTTTGGGGAAGGAGCAGGCAAGAGACAGGAAAAACTCAACAATTATCAAAGTTTTCTTCATAATTCTTGGATAATAAAAACAGTCTGTAAAATGCTGAGAAAATTATGATGAGTTTAATTCTTTCTTCATACTCATTGCAATTCATTTCAGATCCCTGGACATAATTTCAACGGTGGGCCAGCTACGCTAACCGTAGCGTTAGCGTAGCGTAGTGTAGCGAAAAATCACTACACTTTAGCGTAACGTTAGCGCTTTTTTCATTTTTTGCGCTAACGCTACGCGAATGGGGCAAAAACGTGCGCTAACGTTTAGCGTAGCGTTAGCGCAATTCCCCCCATCTGCGCTAACGCTACACGCACAGGCCGCCAAAAACTGCCCGCTACGCTGCGTTACAGCGATTTTTAGCGGGATTTTGGCGTTTTTTGCCGCTAAAAACGCTGTAGCGTAGCGGCGCCAGTGGCGCGCTAACACTACACCAAAAAATGGCTAGTGTTAGCGCCGCTACAAATTAGCGTAGCGCAGCGGCCGTAGCAACGTGCTAACACTACACGAAAAAAAAATTTGGCGCCGCTACGCTAACGCTACATGGGCCCATAGCGTAGTGTAGCGTAGCGGCCCACCACTGATAATTTGCACTAGCCAAAGGATTATGTTTCATTCTCGTTATGTGCAATAACATTGAATGGTGGCATGTAGTGTTATCAGGAATTCCTTGAATGTGATCCAATACCTTTCACAATAAGGTGAAGATATTGAATCACATTCTAATTATGTGCAATAACATTGCATGCCACTGTGCAATGTTATTGCATGTACCCACAAAGTGATGTGATTTTTTTTTAGTGTTGTTCTCAATAGGGGGCCCATGATTGAACTTGAGAGCCATTTGTAAGGTGTTTATGAGCAACTTTTTATAAATTTTTTGAATTTTCCAGATTCAGTGATTCCTGAATTTTTTGTCCACCCCAAAATATTTATGAGTTTGTGATCAGAAATACCTTAAAAATGGCCTGAAAGTTAAATTTTGAACCCCCCTAATGAATATGAAAATGTCAAAAACCACTGGCCTGATTTGTACCAAATGAATTTTAGAGTAATTTATCTCACATCTTCCTTGGAGACTGCAGCTGGATCACTCAAAAATTTATGATCAAAGCTAATAATAATTTTAGAGTATACTAGATGATCAGGTTATTTCTGCAAATTGTTAATTTCACTGAAGTATTCTCTGATTTGAGAAAGCTTTGATATTATGTCCCATGGTACTGGCACTAATTTTTTTATATCTAAAACCTTAGATACCCAAGACTGATTCAAGGATTTTAGTAATTTAGTCAATAAATCTCTGTTACTGTGGGTTTGGCACTATCGCTACAAACAATACCAGTTTTGCCTCAGGAAAGAATGGCAATTTGTGTGGTGGAAAATAGGTCAATTTCCTGAGTCTTTTTTTACAAAACAACTCAGGAGTATAAATTAGGCTAAAATGAGCTATTTTAGCCCAAAATTAAAAATGCCTCAAATGAGCTAAAAATTAATTTTGGAATGTTTGAGGCATTTTTATTTTTAGGCTAAAATAGCTCATTTTAGCCTATTTTACTCTGAGTCATTTTGTAAAAAAAAACTCAGGAAATTGACCTATTTTCCACCACACAAATTGGCCATTTTTTCCTCGGTCAAAACTGGTATTCTTTGTAGTGTATGGAGATCATAATACAGACAGAAACAATGTATGTAAATCCCAAACCATAGTCAAACATCTTATTCCAATTTCCAACAGTGGGATGATGTGTTACAATACAATAATTAACCCCTATTGTGTAACACATTGGCCCATCAATTTTTTCTTTTTTGTTATTTTTATGTCAAAAAATATTGATTTTTCAATACTTCATCCCCATTACAGCCCAATACAGCTAGAGATGGGTGCGGCGCATCCGGATATCCGTACCATTTCAGCAGAATCGGACATCCGCACCCACATCCGCATCCGCTGGTGGATACCCGCTGGCCCTGGCGTGTATCCGTGCGGATACCCGCGGATATCCGCCCCCTTTTAAGGGGGGACAGATGTTTTTTTTTTTTCAAAAAAAAAGAAAAGAAAAAAATAGTTAGAGGCCAGCTCGTCAAGAGGAATCCCTCCCGGCGAGCTGGATTGTGTACCAGCTCGCCAGGAGGGATTCCTCCCGACAAGCTGGGAAGAATACCCTCTCATTGGGAGGGGTTTCTCCCAACAAGAGGGTATGTACACCAGCTTGCTGGGACATCGGGAGAAACCCCTCCCAACAAGAGGGTATTCATCCCATCCTAGCTTTTCGGGAGGAATCCCTCCCAGCGAGCTGGATTGTGGTCGGGAGGGGTTGCCATTGATCAAATTATCCAGGTGTCGGACGAATTGGCTACGTGCATCAATGAACAGATACTTGATTGTCCCGGCCTTCACCCAGTCCGGGTTCTCCCACTCTCCTTGGTTATCCTTGTTTTTCAGGCCCTTGACAGAGGCCCTGAAGTAGCTGGCCGACCATCCCTCCTGTGCAGCTCTGGCCTTGACTTTGCGGGCAACCCGTTTGGACGACTCTCCCATTTTGGAACAAGCGTGTGCAATCGAGCCCGAGCCGTTGTGTAGACCCTTGCCAGCGCCCAGGGAGATAAGACAGTCGATCCGTTGGCCTGGACAGAGCGTCTGGGCTTCCTTGACGGCCTCCATCAATGGTTTGTTCAGACTCAGCTCGTCCACTCTTGCCGCCTTGAAGAACACTGGTGCGGCACTGGTTGCCCGCCTCGCTTGAGCGACGCTACATCGGCCACCCTGTGCCGGTTGCTCGCCATAGGACCTCAACTTACTAAATAAACTGTACACCAGCTTGTCGGGAGGAACCCCTCCCGGCGAGCTGGATTGTGTTCCAGCTCGCCAGGAGGAATTCCTCCCGGCGGTGTTGCCTCTCTTGGCACCGGGTATCCCTTGGGATACCCAGATATTCGCCAGGTTTGGGAGGAAAAACAGCCATCCGCAGCCAAATCCACACCCGCTGTGGAACTACTCTTGGGAGGAATAGAGCTTGAGAGGGATGAGTGCTTTATTGGGCTGCCTCTCTGATAACAAGAAAATATAAGAGTATGGACTGTTAAGGAAAGGTGTGGCTTTGGAGATATCTTGAGGATGGTATGTCTAATGTTTCTTATGTTTACTAGTCTAAATATACTTGTTCACAAATCAAGGTATCCCAAATGTTGATGGGCAAATACCTGGCTAATAGTGGGTGATCAGTTATCTGAATTGCTGGGGCAGGATCTGATGTGGAACAAATGAAGAGGAAAAACAAAGCTCCTTATATACAAAATTCTGGGGAGTGGCCAGCTTGTGGTTGGAAGATAAATGGAACATTCTATGAGAGCATGAAACAAGAGAAAAATATTTATCCATAGAAACAGGGGAAAAAAGCAGTGGGAAAATGCTCCCAAGGTTACTAGTATGAAACAAATAAGGGGTGAATATTCCATGGAAGGAGATAGGAGGAAATAACTGTTTCATGGGTCAGGGGGAGTTTTACTAGTGTGAGACACAAGGAGAAAGAAGAATGGAATATGTTTGGAGGGGAATGAGTTTCAGGGTGTGGAGTTTCTGGCTGGGAAATATTATTATCCATGTGGTCTGGGCTTGAGGGGATTCATGATTGGTTTTGGGGGTCTGGGGAGCTTTCGGGGGTGTCTTGATCCTGTGATTCCTCTGTGAATTGTACCCTTGCTGTGCTTGGATTTACAGGATTGGCTTACCACATCCACCCCCAAATTAGATGATGTCCCCATCATCCAAAAAGAAAAAAGAGAAAAAGAAAATCCTGATAAAACTGAAAATATATCCTAGACAGAAAAACATCTCATAAATGGGGAAATTCATACTTTGAAGGGGGTTGATAACCGCAAGCCAACCCCCCACGCGCACGCCAATCTGCACGCCAGCTGCAGATTGGCGTGCGCGCCTGCACGCCATTGCAGAATGGCGTGCAGGCAGGCAAGCCATCTGCCTGCAGGGGTATACCCTGCAGGTTGGCGTGCCTGCGTGCACGCCCAACCTTAGGTCCTAAACGCATATTTATATGCGTTTAGGACCTGGGCCGTCCCATAGGACCCAGGCATGGGTCCTATGGGACGGCCCCATTGTTCTTTTTTTTTTTTTCTCTTTTTTTTTCTTTCTTTTTTTTTCCCCCTCGGCCTCTCTAGGCCGAGGTCACACCGCCGGGAGGAACCCCTCCCGGCGAGCGGTTTACAGTCCAGCGGAAGGGTTTCCTTCCGCTGGACGAGGTACACGTACCTCGTCCATCGGAAGGAACGCCTTCCGCTTGGACGAGGTGACATGTACCTCATCCATCGGAAGGAAACCCTTCCGCTGGAC